AAGAAAAATCAACGACAAAATTCTAAAATAAAACTTTTTAGAGGCATTTCAAATAAACATAAGCAGATTTTTACCTCAAAAAATTGAGGATACACAAATGAAATTTTTGTTTAACTACCACTTGATTTCTTTTTGCTTGCTACTAATAATCTAAGTTTGGGAAATTTTATCCTAAACTTTTTCAACTGTTATTTCTGTCTTTTGAAGTTGGTTATGAGAATATAAAGCTGTAATTTTAAATGGAAAATGGCTCCTCGGAAAGAGACTAGTATTGATGTAAGAAAATTTATATTAAGGTCATTTAAGAAGGGAAAATCTTATCGTGAAATAGCTGAAATTGTCGGTAGAAGTCACTCATGTGTCCAGAAAATCATTGGGAAATTTAAACGCGATGGATTAATTCAAAATAAGAGTGGAAGAGGAAGGAAAAGTATTCAGAGTGATGTAGCTAAAAGGAAAATTTTAAAAGACATCAAGATTAATCCTAAACTGAGTGCAGTTAAACTAGCTGCAGAAACTTCTCGAATAATCTGCAGAAGTGTAAGTGCTGAAACTGTGAGAAATGTGATTAGACATGCTGGATATAGCAGTCGAGTAGCTAGAAAGAAACCTTTCATAAGCTTACAAAATCAGAAAAAGCGTTTGGAGTTTGCAAAAACTCATCAGTTGAAGACAGAAAACTTTTGGAAGAAAGTTATATTTAGTGATAAAAGTAAATTCAACATTTTTGGAAGCGATGGTCGTCACACCGTTTGGAGAAAGCCGAACACCGCTTTGGATCCAAAAAATTTACGTCCTACAGTTAAACATGGTGGTGGCTCCGTCATGGTTTGGGGTTGTATGGCTGCAAATGGGGTAGGAAATTTAGTTTTTATAGATGGTATAATGGATCATAAGCTTTATATAGACATACTCCGCAACAATCTTAAAGAAAGTGCACAAAAATTGGGTTTAGATGGAAATTTTATATTTCAGCACGACAACGACCCCAAACACACGGCACGTAATGTCAAAATGTGGTGTCTTTTTCATTGTAAACAGCAATTGCACACACCGCCACAGTCCCCTGACATTAATTTCATAGAACATTTGTGGGCCACACTAGAAACAGCGGTCCAAAAACACCAGATTAGAAACAAAGCCCATTTAAATCAAGTGTTACAAGAAGAATGGGATGAAATATCTCCAGATACCACTAAAAAATTGGTCTAATCGGTACCAAAACGTTTGGAGGACATTATAAAAGCCAAAGGACATGCAACAAAATACTGATACTGTCTATGCATGTAATATATCGAAAAAATTTCAATGGTGTATCCTTAATTTTTTGAGGTAAAGATCTACCTATGTTTACTTCAAATATTTGTGAAACTTTTAATTTTAGATATTTTTTTGTTGATTTTCGTTATTTTTACTGTAAATTAACCCTTTTATTACGTGTAAAAGTAAAAATACGTCTTCTATTCTAGTTAATGTGTTATTTTCATTAAAAGTTAGATTTATTAAGTGAAAGTAAGGTGTATCCTCAATTGTTTGAGCCACTGTATTACTTAATAATTTCGAAAATAATATGAAATTGTTAATATTCAAAATTATTTTGAAATATAAATAAATTTAATGATTTTTCAGATATATTAATAGGAATAATTTATCAATTACAATACATATATTTGAATTATTAAAATGTAATAGGATGTGAGAAATAAAATCATCGACTAAAATTTACATTAAGCGTTTAATTTTTTAAAAAAATACAATGTTCAGTAATATTACGCAATAAAATTTGTTCAAAAAAAATTTGTAAAATGGTCAAACTAAGAAAAGTTAATTCATTCTTTCAGTGTGAGCGAACCATTCAAAACGGATTTAAAAATATTACACATTTATCCATGCAGTTTCATAAAATATGCATTTTACCATTTTGCTCCAAATAAATAAAAATTGTATTATGTACAATTTTGCAAAGAAAAGATTTTTACACAAAAATTATGTTTACTTTTTCTTGCAGTAGTTTGTAAATTATTCAATTAAATATTAAAATTTAAACAGACTGTAAAATATTAAAGTAGATAACACAAAATTTCCAAGTACAGAAATTAAACTTGGAGTAGTAAAATGAGTAAGTATATACTTCTCCTCAAGTGACTCCAATAGGTAGGTTGCAAATTACCTCCTCTATAATTTAGTGTTTAAAATATCATATATCTCTCATTTTCGTTAGTATTGTGCATAATATCCATTAAGATGAGTAGGATATCTGATGAAAATAATGATATCCGCTGAGGTCCAGCTGAGGAAGAGGAAAGTATGCAGATCTTCAGGAGTTAAATTTCGAATGAATAAGGCAAGAACTTAATTTTCTCTCCTCCTGAATTCATCCAATAGCATCACGGGTATAAATAATAATGCGATATGTGCACTTACAGATTTAGTTTAGTCATATTAACGTCGCACTAGAAGCAATACGAGGGATATTGACTACGGACCTCGTAATTTTGAACCACGTTCAAATGATGAGGACGAACCCTGAACTGGAACCCTCTCTCCTAACTTCCATACCACGCCAACGGGGCCCCGAACAGATTTAACGTGCATCAATCTTGGTTACACGGCGGGTCTTTGACGGCCAAGGATCGAACCCGGGACTGTATGAAAACCTCCGGTCGCAAGTCCACGACCTGGACCACTAGGCTACCTCGGCCAGTGCACTTACAGAACCAACGTTATTTAAATAAATAAAAACAGGAATCAAATTTTCTTCGTTTAAGGTAACATTTTTAGAATTATATTTTGGATCGAAACTTATCTCAACTTTTTGAGAACTTGGAATATGCCATAGTATGATTGCTATAATTTCTCTTTTATACAGTAAGGATGGAAAAATCGTGGCGCATACGCCAAATGGGATGAATTTTATGATTAAAAGTCGTACTTCAGACAGTTGTTAGTGAGCTCCTAAAAGCAAATTAATGTCATAAATTACTGATTCAAATTTAAAGAATTAAATTGAGTGTTTGTGTTCCCAGTATTAAATATAATATTAAATATTAGAACTTGCGAAATCTACTCAGACTGAACATTTTCAATATTTTTAAGTAATTATTGATGCGCTGAAATAGTTCAGTTTTAGTTTTTATTAACGTCGCACTAGAAGCAACACGAGGGCTATTGGCGACGGACCTCGTAATTTGGAACCACGGTCAAGTGACGAGGACGACACCTGAGCTGGCTCCTCCCTCTCCTAACATACACAAAGCAAGCAAAAGTAAGGATTTTGGGCCCCGAACAGATTTAACGTGCATCAGCCCCGGTTACACGGCGGGTCTTTGGCGGCCAAGGATCGAATCCGAGACTGAACGAAAACCGCCGACCGCGAGTCCACGACCTTGACCACTAGGGTATCGCTGAAATAGTTATTGATATATATAAAGGAAGTTAATGATTTATACAATCAGTTATCTTTACATACATATAAGTCTAATAAAATTTTCTTGAGCATACACTTGAACTATTGTTCCTCCTAGAAAAAGGGAGGAAACAGAGAAATCTCTGTTTCGAGCACGTCTAAACTCACACTGCCATCCACTGAGCAATAGCGTTAATTCTGCCAAGCGGGACTCTCTTGCAGTTGTAGCAGAGTCATGAAATTATCGCCTTTTCTAACAGGATATCATTTCTGAACCTAGTGGATTGGTGCTTCTTTAAACTGGCCTTTGTGGTAGCTATATAAGACATAGAGATGGAATCGTTAAAGGATTTTTTTTACGAGTCATAGGTTAGAGATTTGAAGTCAATAAAGACCCACCACGTAAAAAAAGTTCATGCACAAAAATATATTGTAGATCAAAGTTGTCCCTTTGGAGAGGTCTCGAAATTGGCAGAAGTGGTGCCAGCTTAGTAACGTCCTCGTCACTGGAAAGATGCTCAAAATTATGAAGTAAAACACCAGCAGCTCTTGTGTTATTTCTAATTCGACAGTAATAAAAATGAATCGAAAAAATATCTTTAAAGCATTGACAATTAAATTATTTAACAGAGGGAAATAGTTATTTCTTTACATCTCTTTTATGAAGCAAATTGTGTAAAATTTTCATCTCCATTTACCAATCCCTGATTATGAACTAAACAACTCTAGTTATGTGGCGCATCTGAAATTATCAGTCAGAAATTTATGGTAAGGTATGCAAAACTTTGTCAAGCACTTGTCTTATAATGGACACTCGATAACTATATCCAGGATTGTTACGAAAAGTCTCTTCGGGGAAACAAAGACGGCGTAAGTTCAATGTGAAACTGCAATATACAAAAATTATTTTCCTCACATAACAACCTAACATAAACATTTATAAATTAAAGAACCCAAGTGGTCATGCTATTAGATAAAGAAATTGCTTCATAATGAAAGAACTACGAAATGAAAGTTTTGTTAAAATAAAAAAAATAATAAATGTATGCGTGATGATTTTAAATGAAGCATTAGAATTAATATAATAATAATTTTAATAGAAATGTTTATTATGGCTGCTTACATGGTAGTCTAGTGTTCAAAATCATGAACTGATCGCCGGCTTTGACTTCGTCGAGTTGTGAGGCTGTGTCACTTTGCAGTGGTCATTAATTCAGTTCGAGCAATTAAGTAAACACTTGAACTACTCTTGGAGAGGAAGTTTAAAGCGGTAGAGGCCGTCAAATGTGTCGTCTTCATCACTTGTTTCAGTTCAGAAATAAAAGGATCTTCCACAGATAGCAATCGTGTTGTTTCTCTATGTGATATTAATAGAAAATTTACAATCATTCGTATTACAAATTTTATTAACATATTAATAAAAATATGAATTTAAAATGTGTGTGAGAGAGATCATTAGATACATATTTATATATATATTAATGAATTTTTATTTTGGAATATTTAATTTGTAATAAATAAATTTAAGTTTCTGAGATTGTATCAAAGCACTTGGGATAGCCTAGTGACGTCAGACTAGGACCCCTAGGTCGCCGGTAGCCTAGTGGTCATGGTTTCATACTTGTGGATGGCGGTTTTCGTTGAGACGCGAGTTCGATTCTTCGCAACCAAGGACTTGCAGTTTAGTCGAAGCTGATGTACATTTCATCTGTCGGAAGGTTTCCCGCTGGTACGATGTTGAAGTTTGGCGAGGGGAGTGCCATCTCAGATGACGTCCTCGTCATTTAACCCGAGTTTCAAAATTACGAGTAAGCCGCCAATAGCCCACGTGAAGCTTCTAGTTCGACGTTAATAAAAAAAATTTAAACGAAAATTAGCTAATCTTAGTTACCTTATATAAATATATTGAATATAAACTTTTAGTTTCTACATATATATTGCAATTTTCATCAAAATGGAATTTTTCATAGCTACAAAGAATTCTCGAGGCATAAATACCTATACATTCATACCTAAATTAATTTCGCAATTTAATACAGTTATCTACACACACACATTCACAATATCTTTAATAGATATACGGATATTCTGATGATGTGACAATTCATGCAGCCCGGCAGAGAAATGTGGTTAAGCTTTAAGCATCGAAATTTCAAGCGTTTCCAAGCTAAATACACCAATTGAAAACAATATTAAAACGAATTTGCATATTAAAACTGTAATCGCCATATATTAATTAAATGTGATATAAACTCTATACACAATGTGGAAGTAATCGATTAGAAGCGGAATATTTCATTTACGTGAAAGTGAATGATACCAAAGTCCCATTCTTTCTGATAAAAAATAAATTTTTCTTACTTGAAATTTGCTCCACATTAAGACATTATCCGTGAAATTAGAAGAAATTAACTTTACAATAAATTATGTTTCGAGAAATCCGAACATCCGAGAAGTATGTAATATAGTTTAGTTTTTATTATTGTCGCACCCGAAGCAACACGAGGGCTATCAACCACGGGCCTCATAATTTTGAACCACGGTCAAGTGAGGAGGTCGATAACTGAGCTGGCACCCCTCTCCTAAATTCCACTCCACACCATCGGGAGGACATTGGGCCTCGGCAGATTTAATGTGCATCTTCACCTACAACAAGGCGGGTCATTGGCAGTCAAGGATCGAACCCGCGACTGATCGGAAACCGCCGTTTACGAATCCGAAACCATGACCACTAGGATACCGAGGCCACCCGAGAAGTATGTAATGCTGCAGTGCCAGTTCAGATTAAGACCTCGTCGTTTAACTAAGCACTTTCGAAAAGAGTGAATTTTATTTTCATATTGCCTCGGTTAAATGTTAAATTTCTTGTGGATTTCGAAAGAAACATACTCCCAAGGTATCTGGAGGAAGCTTTAAAGATTTTCCTTTAGAAACGGAAACAATATCCATGTGATATCTAATTTTAATTTTCCTTCCTTTGCATTGTTGAATACGAAATGATATCGAATTACTATAAGTACTCTGCTCACTATTTAACATAACAATTTTAAGAAATTTGATTTTTAAGGATTCTTACGAACAATTATTCATATTTCTAACACTTTTAACTAAAATATATCTTTCTACTATCTGACATTGATGTAATTTTAGTTCAATTAATATGATTCTCTCAGCATATAGACGAAACTTTAAAAACGAAGAAGAATTAAATGATGCTTTAAAAAACGATCAAGTTATATTCCAACACATAAAAAAAAATTAATAGCAGCAACTTATACAAGATCTGGTCGTGATAATAAAATATATATAATTAAATGTAATATATATTAAATTTAAATTAAATTCATTTTTGGCTTATAAGAAATAATTAGTTTAATTGCTGCACTTACTACCTACGAATTGAATTATTTTAATTGATTGATTATTAATGATGCACATTTAGAAGCAAAGCAACGAATATTAAAAGCATAGAGGCAATGACCTGTAGAATAGAAAAAACTGAAGATAATTAATTAAACTACACAACAGTATTACAAATCATCGATTTAAAATTAACAATCAAGCAATCAGCAGAAACTCTCAACAGACAATATCGTACTTGTTGATAGATTGTATTTCGTAATTTCACAGAGATTTTGCAATTCGTCTTGGGAATTTGTTGAAGAAGTGTTGTTTACCATATACAAGAAGAATCAAGAAAGGTTATGCGATACAAAAACAAAATTTAAACTGAAATTGTGTTTATTTGTCATGGACATCTACAACTGCGCGGTATGCAAGGTTACGTAGGAGGGCAACAACGCTATAATAAATCATAGGTGTTGGATAAAGACGAATGAAGATTCGGTTGAGTATGAGAACTTTGATAGAAATATGCCGCAGAGTGCTTTCAAAAGAGTGGTTCCGAGCACGAATGCGTTTAACGGGAACCATATCGATACAAGATTCGGAACGAGGAATACTCTTTTTGAAATTGGCCAGGACCAAATCTTAACAGAAAATTTTTAAGAACTATTTAAGATTGCAAGCGAACATGTCGAGGAACCTAGTATTAATAAAATATTACGCTGAAATCTTTGACATAATTCGAATATGCAATAAATTTCTGATTCAAACTGTCAGCAAAAGGCCGTTATTGAGTAATTCAGTACAAGTAAACAGATTTTTTCAGGTAATGACGACCCTTTAAATTCATTTATATTTTTTTTTTCTAATAATAAGAATTCTCATAACTTTCCGCCAAATCCTATCTATTCAATTCGTGGCTGATTAAAAGATATTACTGAAAAGCGCTACTGAAAATATTTCGAATTTAAATAATATTTCTTCTGAATCATCAGACAGGTATATGAAGAGAAGGAAATATATTTTAGACAGAAATACCTCACCAGTTTTACCAAGTAACATCGCATATGCATCTAATACCACAGTTCATTCTATGTTTTCAAAAGTTGAACTTTTTAAATGTCAATTTTGTTCTAGAACATTTCGAAAGTATTGGCTTCTTGATATACATAATTTTAAGACAAATTATAATACATATTTAAATGCGAAATATGTAATAAGTTTAAAGTAAAGTGACATCTAGACATCCATATGATAGTCCATAATTGTTTAGATTCAATTAATTATACTTGTGAATAGTGTTGTATAAAATTCTGAAGAAAATATAAACTTTATTGGCACCTTATTCATAATAAATTGTACAGGTAATTTGAATAAAAATATTTTGAATAAATTATTTTAGTAGAAAAAATTTGTGTATCAAGGTATCTATTTTATTTTTTAGAAGGATGTTATATAATTTTATGCTTTTATAAATATATTTTGAAATACTGGTTAAATTTTAAATTTAAATATCGCTTTTTATGATTAAAGTGTTAAAAATTTCTCTTATTAACAAAATGTACATTTGTGTTTAGTTTGAGATATTTTTCTATAAATTACATATTTTATGGTCTACAATTAAATTAGTAAAAATTTTACATTGAGTTAGATATTCGTTTAGATCACATCCTATTGAATATTTGATCATAATTCTGATCTCCTATTTTGAATCGGAAAATCCCAAATCATAGAGATTTTAAATATTGGAGATTTTAAAATTATATATTATATATATTTAATTTTTAAAAAAGTTTTCATTCCATTCAAAATTGCAAAACCTCTCTATATTTTGTAACCAGTCATATTTTCGATATATGATTTCTAAGAATCGTATTATATAATATAACTATAAAAATAGACATTCTAATATTTTTTGCACTTTTTACCTTTCCATCATAAAAAAATTATATTTTGAGTTTGTTGAAAAGAGTACATATTAAAAATGCATTTTAAAATTCATATGTTTTTGTAATAGTAATTAAGATTTCTTGATTAAAATAATTTGAAAATTGAATGTTTGTCCTTGAGAAATTAAACTGTCAAATTTCATTTTATTCAAAATTCAGTTAAAGTGCATATCTGACTCTTGCGCCATAAATTTAATAACATATCGCATCATTTAAAGAACTTTAACCGAAATGCATCAAAATTTAAAAATTACAAAATACAAAAGCAAACATCAGCTGTTTCTCAAGTCTTCTAATTACCACACAACAAATTGTAAGATTTTTAGTAAGGTATTTCATAGGGCCTAATTCTATGCGTCCAAGTCTCTAAAGTAGCGAAGTCTGCTAACATGCAGTAACGAATGTATAACTCTTCTTATTTAGCTACTTTAGCGTTTAGTGCCTTCTTTTTTTATTAATAGACCCCTCTGGTGAGCAGGTATGACAGAATAGTCCCACTGTAGCTAACACATGTCGTAAGAGTCTACTAAAATTGGCTGTCTGGCTATTGAGCCAGTAAACTTTATATTCTCTCACTAACTTCTTATTATTAAGTTACTTTAGTTAGTGCTCCAATTGATTCATAGTTTCATGTGCCAGTCCTTTAACAACGTAATACGTCCTGGAGTTAATAGACGTGTAATAAGAAGGGCATTCATATTCTCACAATAAATTGATGCGAAAATTATTTATTAGTTTCTCCAAGGAATCTATTTTCAAATTGACACTCAAAGAGTAAGCTTTGTCTTGTGTCTTCCTTTTCAATATTACGAGGTTTAATTGAATAAAAATTTTAGGCCTATACCCCATGCATTTCTTTGCATTGCGAAGAAATTAAGAACAATTTTTCAATTTTAAAGAATTTTTAGATTTCCTTTTTTTATCATTTTCCTATTGCATGAATGAAGTCAAATATTTGAGTACATTATTTCATTAATTTGTTAACAGAATGAAAGATTTTTATATTGTATTTAGTAATAAATTTGTTATCCTGCGTTACGAAAGATTTATTACTTAATTTATCTTTTCGATAGCTTCCTTACATATAAAAAATAATTAATAAAATATCCATTCGTGGTAGAAAACAGAACAAAAATGCTAAAAACTGTATTTGAATTAAGGCTGTTTTCGACAAATGTTAAAGAATAGGGCCACAAGTTTAAATGTATTTTGAGGTGGAAGAAATGTTTCATTATTATTATAAATTATTATAGATATAACGTATATAATTATTTATTAAATGGTGTCTCTAGAATTTTGCATTTTTAAAATAAAATATGGAATTTTCTGACTTGCGTAAAGTGGATTGTCAAATTTCTGTGTTTAAATATAGGAAA